CCCTGTAAGTCTATGAATCTGTATAAATTGCAAAGAGAAGACGATTCAAACAGATGTGTACTTTAAGCAAGAAAATATGAAATAATGGAAGGCATACATAGAAGTATTATTGTACGCACAACTTCTAAGTTTGGTCAATGCTGCCTCTTTCTGGTCTTTTTTAAAAGTAGGCAATTCTCGTGCTCAATTGGTTTGGTTGTAGATCAGCTGTAGACCGACCGAGTAGTTCCTTTTGAAGTGTCAGGATTAGAATGAACTCAGAGAGAGAGAGCACAAAAACAATTGGACTTCAAAGATAATTAAGGAGTTGAAGATAAGAACCTGGATTTCTGCTGCTTCGTGAGATACGTCAGCATCTTTGCCACGAAGTTTCTGCAGGGAAACTTCAAAATCTCTCTGGCGTCTTGTCTTCGCCTGCACCGATGATGAGTCATAATCTATGTCTTCATTTCATTGAATGTTACCATCAGATAAACAGAAAAAGGAAAGGAGAATTACTTTCTTACCATCCATCTTGGAGACTCAGGAATGAAAAAGAGACCGAAAATGATCACAGCGCAGGGAACAATTCCTGCAATCACCACGCAGATGAGCCTCACCACTGTATTAGAGATCATAGGGTATTCTAATTAAAAACACAGGACATTCTCAAAGATAGAAGCAGCAGCAGAAGGCTTTGATGAAATAATGGAGCTTCGTTTCCGGCAGACGATGATGGGGGCGCAGTTGACTTGTGCTTGGCAAGCAAAGAGTCTGATCTTTCAAGCTGATCAGGACGTTTGGGCGGTTGCGTTGGAGGAGGAGGACAAGGTGGAGTTGTGGTGGGTTGTGGTGCATGTACAGCAGCAGCAGGCAATGAATCTGATGGCTCAGATGAAGGTGAAGGGTTGGGGGTGGTCTAGTGATTAGATTATTCTTCTTCATTTCGTTTAAGACAAGGCGTCGAAGTTGGTGAGCAGTCAGCGACTCCAGAGAGGATTTGGGGAAGAAAACGACGGCGTTGTTGAAGAGGAGCAGCAGGTCTCGGTAGAATGAAAGAGCGCAAGACGAATATGTGTCCTTGTGGAGCTCGCTTTGTATTGTTTCCAAGTCCACATGCTGCTGGACCATGCTCTTGTACTTGTCACTGTCCCGTACATGCAGCCACATCATCATCATGCTTCGCTTTCGTTTTAAAATTTTCACGCTCACTATAAATCTTCTTGTTTGTTTTTGTTCAGCACAAATTATTACAGAAAAATTAGTGACAGAAACTGAGAAACACAAAATCCATGCATGTTTAGCATTTTGAGCCCTGGACACATGAAACCAGAAGCAGCTGAGAAAGCATAGACTGCAAAAGAAGCCAAAGGACGCTGAAAGAGGCCATTGTTGTTTCAGACTTTCATTCAATAGCAGTGTTCAAAAAATCGGCCTAGGCGGGCGGCTAGGTGGCTAGGCGGTCGCTAGAAGGGCTCTAGGCGGTTAGGATGTCGCTAGGAAGGCGCGAGGCTGTCGCTAGGAATGTGCGAGGCTGCTAGGCGGTTTATAGGCGGGTGCGGGGGGGGTAGTGGGTCTTTAGGCGGGGGCATGCTAGGCGGTCGCTAGGCGGCTAGGCGGTAGCTAGGCGGGCGCCTAGGCGGGTTGGGTCTTTTTTCGTTTCCGAACCCAGAGGACGAAGCCGCCGAAACCAAAGAAAACAGATCGAAGCTTGAGTTGATAGAGAAGAGAAATGGCTTGACTGCGAGTGAAGTTCCGTACTCTGCAAGTGCAAGCTTCGTGTTCGTCTGGAATATATTTAATGAGTATAGCCGTGCGGCTATACTGTTTAAATAAAAATATATTTAAAGTGTATAGCCGACCGGCTAGACTCTATATATATATTAAATATATATATATTTCCACCGCCACCTCCAGAGCTCAACAGCTCCGTCAGCGAACAAAAGAAGAAAAAACCAAGAAAAACGAGTGAACATAGGTAATTGAAAACAAAAAGCTTGCCCAGTATTGTACAAGTAGTGCAAATGAAGACAAATAATGAACAAAGAAAGAAAATAAGAGAGGAGAGAGAGAGAGAGAGAAGATGGTTCTTTTTTACCTTCACGCTCCTCTTTCTTCTCCTGCCTTTGAGCTCCTCCAGCTGACTTCATCTTTGCATGCCATCGAATTATTCTTATTGTCAATGTGCTTGCTTGGTTCAGAATCATTTTAAACGGACGGCAGCATGTGGGCTCTACTTCTGCTTGCATTGCATCAATAATTACATTGTATCAAGTATAGAGGTTACTAAGAAAGAAAATTAGTGAGGTAAATCCTAATTAAAGTACCAAACTCTGTTTTTGGAAGGATTAGAACCAGATTAAATTTTTATATCGGTAAATATTATTTTCTTACAAATTCATAGCAAGCTAATCCAATGATTTAGATGAGTTGATGCTACATGTAAATCAATGCTCTATTCTTACAGAGCATATGGGTTTGAGAGTTCAAATTTGAAGAGTTGATATAGACTGAGATTGCACAAAGTGAAAAGAAGAAGAAAACTTTGTCCATGCAAGCAAACCAGAAACCAAGTTCACCAACAAAAATTGAAGCAAAACCCAAAGAGCTAGAAATTGAAGTTGATAGAGTCATTGTTATAAGAAAAGTACCCCTACCTCACCTAAAAAAACAGAAGAAAACCAATTGAGCATTACATCAAAGTCTACCAATAGTAAGCTGAAATAAAGAGAAGGATGGTACTAGGAATAAATCAAACAAGAATTAGGCAAAAAGCAGTGATGGAGCCAATTCACCAAGTCTCTTCGTTTGGAGGGACTCGGTAGAATTTTGGGTAGATCCATACCCCTTTGAGTTGACGGCTCTTGGATTCTTCAATACGGTTGCTAGATATGCTCTCATTGTAAACGAAACTATCCTTGCCACCTGACTTCCTTTGTGTCCCACAAGTAGAAAACGAAACATCCTCATGATTTGCCATTGCAAACCCCAGCTTCTTCTTCATGTCAGTGTTCATGAAATAACTCTTGCTAACAAAGAATTTTGGCTGGGGTCCGGTGGGATCCACAGGAGACCATCTGGAAAACCTCCAGCCCACTAGGTTATGATCAGTAAATACGATGAACAACCGGTCTCTATTGTCGAAAAAGTAGAATTCTTGTTCATCAGTCCTGTAAGCAGCGCATTTGATTGTATTGATTCCTGAACAAGGAATGTCATGTTGGAACCATTCCTTGTCTCCGCGGCGAAGTAAATGCAGCTTCAGTTCATAATCATTGATGCGGTTTATAACACAAACCTCACAAGCCCAGGAAGTTGGAGCACACGAAAATGCTGCAACATGATCAGAGAGCTCCGATAAAGGGCATCCTGGAAGGTCTATTTTTGTTTTGGAGAAGGGCTGAAAGAAGAACATTGATGAAGCACCACCACAATTACCAACAGCTTCACCTTCAAGACCTTGTTTCTTGAACAAAAGAAGCCATCCTTGGTTTGATGCAAGGCAAGTTGTTCCGTCCAGTTCTGGAAGTCTCATGGTGAACTTCTTACCAGTTTCTGTGACCAATTGGCATTTTTGATCAGAATCCTCATCATACAGTAGAAACCAAGGTTCAAAGTCTGGTGTGGATTCAATTTTAGCTGAGGCAGTGGAAGAAGCAGAGTTCCAAGCCTTGCAGACGCTCCGGAAACTCAGAAGCCCGATGGGGCCTAGACGCTCTGCTATGTTTGACGCAAGTTTAGGAGGAAGATCAGACCATGGTGGCCATTGCTTCATTTGCATTTGCATTTCGTCTCCCACAGACATTTTACGAAAGCACTGACCCATGTGATGTATTTTCTTAGCTGCTCCATACAAGCATACATCAAGTTGTTAACTTGATACAGAGACATATATGTTAAAGTCGAAGGAACTAACAAACAAGGAAAAGAATTAGGGTTTAACTAGCAGCGAATATACAGTCAAGTTGTTAACTTGTAAAAATAGGCAACAATCTGTGAGGTCTGCAATTTTCATAATATGTCTGGTTTGGTTTGGTGTTTATATTCATAGTGTATGTATATGGTATTTCTATCATTGGATCAAGAAAAAAAAAACAGAGTAAAAAAAAAACTTCAAATGGCTTAAATTCAAGATACTATAGCGAGAATTACAAACTAAAAGGGAGAAAGAATACCTACGTACACGCCAAACAACTTCTTCAAGTTCACAAAAAACCTGCATTAGAAAAATAAAAATAAAAACATTAAAACAAAACATTTTCATATTATAAATACCAAACCCTAAATCTGAATGCTTAACCCTGAATATCATAATCATTGCGAGTTTACAAAGAAACATAACACAAAATTAGCCTACAAGAAGAAATCATCTGATTCTAGAGTAAACTCTTGTTTGAAATTAACTTTGGAATTGGAAGAAGAGAGAGAAAAATATACTAATACCTCTTTTTTCGGTTACAAAGCAGAGCAAAGGGAGAAGAGATTACTATACAACTCACAGTTGTAAGATCATTAGTTCACAAACAGCCCGTAAAAATATAAAAACATAACTGAAATTAAAAGGATAAAATCATCGAAGTATTCCAGTTTAGCTAGCATTCTTGGGGGGTATTTATGTCCTTTTATTTCAGTTCAAATTAAAAAGCGAAAAGCAAAAAAATCAGAGGGGCATTCCGAGAATTGAACTCGGGACCTCTCGCACCCTAAGCGAGAATCATACCACTAGACCAAATGCCCACATGTTAGTGGTTGGCAATTTTATTTAATATAATAGATAGAAACCGATATTTTCCCTCCAAAATCGCTAAAATAAAATCCTCAGTCTGTCTGTAATTTTGATTTTTCCCTCCAAACCCTAACAAAAGCCCTCCAAACAAAACCTTCCAAATTCCAATTCAATTTCCCTGCTTATATCATGTCTTCCCCAACACAACTAAAGCAACCAAATTTCAGTCTGTTTGGGTAATGGAAGAGTGATTTGTTCTCTCAAAGATAGAGTGCTTGACCAACCCCTTTGGGCTATGGCTGTTTCTCACACTGAAGCCCAGACCTCTGATTTTCCGTCTCATCCATCTGGTAATGATGATCTTCAAAGATTGTTTTTTTTTTTCTTTCTTTTTTTCTTCTATTCCTGACGATTCTTCAGGGAAATGGTGTTTTTGATCCGTATGTTGCTGTTTTGATTTGCATTTCGAATATTAGGTCTGATTAATTGGAGTTTCTGTTGGCTTCTAATTAGGAAATAAACTCAAATGTGTCGATGAAGATGAGAAGCAGCAGCCACAGTTCCAAGACACTGTGCCCTTTGAAGATACTTTTGTGCTCAATAGCCAATCCATGGAGGAAACCCAGTTACTGGATCATTCAGATTTTGGTGACGAGACAGGGACTGGTATGCATGAGTACGAGGAAGAAGTGGTGCTTGACAGTGAGGACGAGGAAGTAAATGGAAGTAGAATATTGAGTGTTAAAGCCCATGTCTTGTCTAATCAAAAGCTCAGTCTTCATCATCTGCAATGCGGTCCAGGTTAGTATATACTATTTGCACTGGAGGTGAAATTGTGAAAATTTTCAATTTTTTGTATGTGGCCTTCTTTTTGTGTTGTTTTTGTTCATCACGTCACGGTTGGTGTTATATAACTTAATGTTTATGTGGAATATGTGTTTCATGAATCTTAAGTAAGTGATTTTGAGAAAACTTTTCTTTTATTTGAATACTTTGAAGGAGGAAAGGATGAGGGATCTCCGCCGCTTGCAAGGTTAAATTACATTGGCTCTCAGGAACCTGGGAGGGAGTCATCCCAAGCCAATGCACTTGATTTTGTGGATCATTATGTGTTGTTGAACGATGATCTGGGTGGCTCTCCTGGAATTGATCACAGTAAAACCATCAAGGAGAAATCCCCTCCTGTCTCAAGGACAAAGGGGTCTCAAAGGTTGGCTAGGATGATTAAACTTGAGTCTCAAATTGAGAGGGCAAAAACCTTTGAATGGGTTGATCCTCCTGAGGAGCATAGAGGGGTGTACCTCTTTAACAAGAAGATACAATCATCTATTGATTCTGTAGACTGCCACCACAGATCTATTGTTGGGCATCAGAAATTCAGGTTTGTTGATGATAACATATGCATTAGCTCGGGTGGTGAGAGCAAAGAGAGGAAAATAATTCAAAGCCCCCATAAGGAAATAACGGAATCTGAAGAGAAGATTGAAAATGAAATTGTTAATGATTTGGAAGAACAGTTAGATACAAAATTGACAGGACTGCAGTCGGAAGCTAGTGCCATAGGAACAGATTTTGATGTTGGCTTTAACACTCAAATTGCTGCTGAAGCTATGGAGGCCTTAGCATATGGGGATCATCTTGACTGCAATTCTGCTGATGCTTATCAAGGTATGGAGAACACTGCAGATGTTGTTTCAGGAGGTGCTACAAAGAATACAGCACTTTTGGAACATCCTTCTCTTCCAAAGAGTGATTTTCCAAAGATAGGAGCCATTAACATGAATGCAAAGCGAAGAAAGCGTTCCACTAGAACAGTAAAGAGAAGATTTGCTTCATCTCAAAAGCAATCTCAGAGTCGGGAGTTAGATCCTGATTTGGCAGCACAAACAACAGTGACAAGAAGCAGATTCTTTTCTGAATACTCTAGTAATTCTGCTGATGCCAATGGAAATTTATGTAGACAGTCTCCTAATCCTACCAAGAATAGAAAGCTAGAGAGAGCTACTGGAGAGTCCAACCTTAGAGTGTTGGAGAACAATCTAAGTTCACCCATATCAGCTGGGCGCAGCTTGCTGGGTAAAGGCCAGTCTCAAGGGCATTGTAAGAATTATTCTTCTGTTTCCAACCAGACTAGGCAGTCAAAGTCAGGGGGTAAGTTACTTGGGACTGAGGATGGACCCAACAATCCAGGAGAAAGGATGAACAATGTTATGGAGGATGGTATTATTAAATACAGAAGAAAGAAGAGATGTTTAAATGCTCATCCATCTGAAACAATCAGAGGGGTTGAGGGTGGATCTAACAAGCCAGTAGAAAGGACGAACAATGTTAAGAAGGATGATATTATTACCTACAGGAGAAAGAAGAGAATCAGTGCCAAAGAAAATTGTCCCAAATTATGTGTTTCATCTGAGGGAGATAGAGACATAAACGCCAGTAGTTTAATTTTAGATCTATGGAGCCATCCCAAACGGAAAAGAACACGTCTCAATGCCCGAGGCAATTCTCGCAGAACTACTGTCTTCTTTACTCCTTTTTCAATAGTTGACGGAAAGGACAGCTGTTCCCCTTGTGATGAAATGCCAGAATGCTGCAACAATATAAAGGGGAAAGCACAGTCATTATTGTTATATTGTTGCCCACCTCAGCATTCTTCTAATAAAGATTCTGACAGAACCTTGCCGGCATTGCAATCTGGTAAGCTAGATAGCACAGATCCTACATCTCTGGTTGATGTAAAAAGCCAAATTTCAGTTGTATTATCTGGTTCAGAACACACTGCTCCATCTAACTCTACCACGGGCACAAATGTGGGATCATCCAAATATCTGTCTCATGATTATTACAGAAAGCCATTCAACAAAAACTTGCCCAAATCATCCCTTTTGAAAGAGCTTATTGGACTAGGTATCCCTGAGTCAATAATGGATTTCACGTGGAAAGATTTGAGAACGCGAAGAAATATTGCATATGTTCGAGTTCTGTTTAGCCAGCACTTGGATGATGATATCATTAAGCAACAGAAAAAGGTAGATTTTGATTTTGCCTGATTTTGAAACAGCTAGATGATCCACATCTAATGTTTCCTCTTTTCTCCTAATAGGTCATTGCACGACTGGGCCTATCCATTGCATCATGTTCTATTGATGCAACACACTTTGTAGCAGATCAATTTGCGCGTACAAGGAATATGTTGGAATTCATTGCTCTTGGTAAACCAGTGGTAACACATTTGTGGCTTGATAGTTGTGGGCAAGCAAACTGTTTGATTAGTGAGAAAAGCTACATTCTGAGGGATGCCAAAAAGGAAAAGGAAATTGGCTTTACAATGCTTGTTTCACTGGATTGCGCAAAACGGTGTCCGCTTCTAAAGGTAATGTATAAGCTTTTGTTGTTCCTTTGACTTAAAGATAATACTGTTTTTCTTTCCTCGGTGTTCTTATATTGTTTCTGCCTAACTAGCAGGGTCGAAAAGTCTTCATCACGCCAAACATAAAACCTGATAGAGCAATGATGATTAGCTTGGTGAAGGCAGTTCAAGGCCAGGTATATGTTTTGTCATTACATCCATAATTTAGTAGTTAGTATCCATTGTTGATTTCCATGATTTTATTACCCTTTTTATGCATGTTTAAATTTAAATAAATATATGTTCCTCAGCCAGTGGAGAAGGTTCAGATACCTGCAGCAAAGGATAAAAAGAGTTTGGAGGATCTTTTGATTCTTTCTTGTGAAGAAGATCGTGCCATCTGTCTGCCATTACTTGAGAAAGGTAGCGGCATTTCATCCATCCTCTCTTTCATATAAAATCGTCTCGGTCGGTAACTTAAGACTCTTGTAAAATATTATGCCTTGCAGGAGCAGCAGTTTACAGTTCAGAACTTGTGCTAAATGGCATAGTTATTCAGAGGCTGGAATACAAGAGGTCAGTACTATACTTGTAAAAGAAACATAAGCCTAATTAGTGTGCTTTGGGAAATTAGTTTAAGAAGTCCTTGTTTCTCTCTCTTCGGCCTTGCAGACATCGGCTCTTCACAGCTCTTGGCAAGAGGAATCGCCCATAGGCCTTAATCCTTGGGCCCTTTCCGCATAACCAATAACACTGTAAAATCATGTAATTAGTGTTGTTTTTGCCATATCGGTTCGGATTACTTCATGTTGTAGTGAACCTGGTATACAGTCGTGGAAATTGTTTGGATGTCGGAAGGATCAATCCTTCTATCATTTTTGTTCTTTTTGCTTTTTTATAAGGAAATGAAAAGGGCTGAAGAGACAATAAAAATGAGTTGGGGGAAGAAAAGCTTAAAATCCAACATCATTTACAAGATCTCTATGGCTCTGCCACACCATAAGATCCCAAAACATGTAATCGCCCTCAAATTTTAACTTTGTATATGACTGCACATTTTTTACAACATGCTCTTATAAATACGAACCATCAGAATAAGGTGTGATTTTCGGAAGGGATACAATTGGCCTACAAAATTGTTAAATTGCACAATTTCCATTACTATTACAGGAAGGATCCTCTCACGATCCCACAATTTCCACCTTTAACAACAAATGACTAGCTCCTGGTTCACATCACATGATGAAAGGACATTATACCAAATTATGGCAGAAGACTTCTCGAACGAAAGTGCTGCAACATCAGTGATATTCCCTGGTTTTCAAGTGATTGCCTGTGATAAGAAATACCATGGAAGTCCAATGAGAAAACCAGGAAGTCCCAATTACACGATATCCCACCCATAAAATAGGGTAACATGGTTACTCATACACCATAAAATCAAAAAATGCAATAATTGTTGAAAGTTTTTCCTTTATCTTAACAAGTTTAAGTGGTACTCACATTATACTGGAGAACTTATAAAAATGATCTGAAACTGTTACAACTTTGGATTGGACAGTTGATTTATAAAGAAATTAAAAGCTTCATTTGTGCCCAAAAATCTTATGAACCACAGGTCCACAGAATTTTGCACTGCATTTTTGTTAAAACATGATGCAAATAGATATTTGGTGCCTACATCATGAACTTACACACTCTTGCAAGATGCCTCAGTTTTCTTAAGTACAGGAATACCACATACCAATTTGACCACATTATTGACTAGAATCAGGAGGTTGGGTATTGGGATTAAAACCATCATAGCCTCCACTTGTTGGTGGTGTTTGATTGGATTGATACATTGGAGGTGGAGCCATAGAAGGGACACCAATAGAAGCATTTGGTGCTGTGCTGCCAGGAACTGTTGGTGGAGGATTCATAGTGGGAGGCCTCATCGGAACATTTAATTGACCAGGCATTCCAGGAGCACCAGGTGGAGCCATCATTGACATCATGGGTGGAGCAGAGCCATATCCTCCTGCCAACACCAGGAAAAAGCAAAAGATTCAATACAAAACATCATTACTATTATATAGTAAAATTATTCTGCCAGCAGTAAATTGATGCATGTTTGACCAGTAAAAATTATAATTGCAACAATAGGCTAGCAATGGGATCTAGAACACAGCTGCATCACAAGGTAACACACCATTGCAATTGTTCAGAGCCATGGAGAAAGGGATGCTAATTGATTGCATAAAACACAGATCACCAAAGGACAATAATTAAGTGAGCACGAAAAGGCATTCCATTTTCCCTGCCTACAAGTAACGGAAGTCTCATGTCAAGTAGGTAGAAGGACTAGCAATCCATCAAGTTGATAACAACAGAGTAACATATATTAGAAACCCAGAATGAAAAATAACAGTACAATAATGCAAAACATTGGTTTGGTCAAGCCGTGCAAAAAGTATGCAAGCCAACATGCAAAATACACATACACAAATAAATCACAGAAACAGCACTACAATGGAATGCCAACGAGAAATGAAGATATACTGTATTCAAGATTACCTGGAGCTCCAGGCATAGGTCTTGGCAAAACTGGAGGCCTCATCCCTGGGACCATTTGTGCACCTCCAGGCATTTGTGGCATACCAGGTGTTGGTAGAACAGGAAGACGGGGCCGCTGAGCCATTAAATGTTGATTGTAAGCTGCACCAACTTGCCCGTAAGCTGCAGCTTGGCCAAGGTGCTGGCCAAGGTGCTCCTTGATTCTTTGGTCAACCAAACTTTGGGTTTGTTGCTCCTCAAATTTCTGATAGTACAACCTCACGTTTGCCTGAAGTTATGCACAAAATCAGTGAAGGAGAAGGCCAAAAGGAAGTGGTGATTTACTCTAATGTCATAGAAACCAACAATACCTTGTGTTTATAACCAGCATTGTGTTGCTTTCTAACTGAAGGCTGAAAAAAATAGGAAAACTACTTGTCAGCAGCAATAGAGAAACTTCCTTATTGCGGACAGTAAGCTTAACATGAAAGATGCCACATAATTTTTTTTTAAATGCATGCGTACAGAAAAAGAAAATTAGATATCCCTGAGTTGCAAGTGATGAACACATGGGCAACTAAAAAAAGCTCGATGGCAATAACCCGAAAGTTCCCAACGTCAATCAACTAGCAGCTACTCTATTCTCCCATTTATTTTGACTAAACCCAGAATCATAAACCCCATAATAAAAAATTCCGCTCAATGTGATTAACTCTTTAACTTTAGCAAAAAATTATCAAAAAGCAAATTGAAAGCTCTCGGAAAAAGTAAAATCATACTTGCAAATACGATTCAAAAACAAAAATAGAGGAGAGAGAGAAATGTTACCGAATCGTGGGTCAAATAAGTGTCACAGTAGTCACAATAATACCTGAAAATTAGAACCATAAACAGATTAAAGATCTAAAAAAATTCATGTCATTTGGATTAGAATCGTTAAAGCTATCCAATGAATGAGATAGAGGCGTTACCGAGGCATTGCTCTGAATTCTTCGCAGGAATTGGGTTGAGAATCGAGAAGTAGTGAAGCTGTACTAATCCAGAAAACCCTAGGGGACAGAAAGAAGAAGAAGCTTCTGGTTACCGGTGAAAGAAAGACGAAGGTTTTTAACTTAGTGGGCTGTGGGCCTCTTTATCTAAACGAAGAAACAAATGGAGTCCGTGTTACAAAACGACTCGTCGTTTTTTATCCTACTCAGTGTTTCTTTCCCGTTCGACATAAACAGCGCAAGTCATACCTCCAAAGTCGGAATTCAAACGCAAATCCGCTTCCGGAAACTCTGCTTTCAGGTTCTTTCTACGTTAGACCTTAACTTTTGTTTGATTCCCGAGAAAACTGAGGAAAAGAAAAGAAAATAAAAAAAGAAACAGAATATGTGTTCCAATGTTTTTTTTTCATGGAAATGGAAGATAAGCTAAGCCAAATAGTTAAAGGTTTTAGTCAGAAGCTTCAATTTTCTCGGATCCTCGGATTCCAAACATTTTAGAATTCTCAGTCCAAAAATAAAAATGTTTGCGCTTTTTTTTTTCTTTTTTTTTTTTCCTTGTAACTTTTGTATTGTTTTTAATTGAAATATTCAGGGGACGATGAAAGTGAATGAGAAGCAGAGTTGGGCGGTGTCGCCGTCCGATGTTGTTTATCATTTCGGTACGAGTGGACTTTCCGTTGCGGCTGCCACCGCGGTAACTCATCCTCTAGGTAATTTCTGAAAGCAAAAAAATTTACTCTTTTACTTTTTCAGCTTCCAATATGTTCGATTGCCTGTGTGAATTTTGCACTTGTAATCTTGTGGTGGGTGCTTGAAATTTGTAATCAATTGGTTACTGTCAAATGTGAATGCTAGATGGATAAAATCAGAGCTCATTGTGTGCTTAGTGTTATAGCATAATTTTGTTGTTAATATGGTGATGCATAGCTTGTTGTCTTCTCCAAAGTCTGGTTTGGTTGATCTGCATAAATTTGGATTGCTCCAAGTGTCATAGAGATTATGGTATTAAATTTGGTAAATGTAAAGAATTTTCATTAATGTCAAATTGGGATGCAGATGTTCTCAAAGTTAGGCTGCAAATGCAACTTGTTGGCCAGAAAGGCCCCCTTACTGGAATGGTATTATTCCCCAGCTCTTTTTAGCTCATGCATATCTTCATCCAATTTATCAGAGGAGATTGTGATAGGGTTGATATACAGGGACGATTGTTTCTCCAAACTTTTAAAAAAGAAGGGCCAAGATTTTTGTATCTGGGGTTGGCACCAGCATTGACAAGGTCTGTTCTTTATGGGGGTCTCCGTTTAGGCTTGTATGAGCCCTCAAAGTATGCCTGCAATTGGGCTTTTGGGTCGACCAATATTTTTGCGAAGATTGCATCTGCAGGATTTGGCGGTGCAATTGCAACTGCACTGACAAATCCAGTTGAGGTTTTGAAGGTAATGCCACCATGGAGGGCCTAGTTGAACATATTTTCTCTTTTTTTTTTCTCAGACTTCACTTTAAGATCATTTGCTTCCTTCCATTAGGTGCGGTTACAGATGAATCCACACTTTAGTAAAGGTGGGCCAACGGGAGAACTGCGTAGGATGATTTCTGAAGAGGGAGTGAAAGCTCTTTGGAAGGGGGTTGGCCCTGCTATGGCCAGAGCTGCTACGTTGACTGCATCACAACTTGCAACATATGATGAAACCAAGCGGGTCAAGTTCTAAGCATGCTATTTTTCGCTTTGAATATCCACGAAGTAATTTCCACTGTTTCTAAATCATTAATGTTTGATTGGCAGTATGAAAAGAATCCGTCTTCATTTTTCTTTTAATTCTGTCTGACTTTCAGGTTTTGTCCCAACTTCCTGTGATTGCAGATATTGATCACGTTGACATCACTTGAAGAAGGATTCAATCTACATCTCATGTATGTATGACACTATCGTGAACGTTCTTATTGTCTGTCTAAGATCCTTCATTTTCTTCAAGCAAAGTTGATTAACTTGATGTTCTGAGAACTTGTCATTTTGAAAACAATTTAAAGTGGCTGCCACTAAAACGCATGCAGTTGCACACAGAAGTATAAACTGAAGAAGGATGAAGATTATGTTTATTTGGGACATATAAGTTGATCTGGAAAGTTGTATGACTAACAGAATAGGAGCTTTTTTTAATGAGATTATAAGTTGATCTGGAAAGTCTCATGTTTGTTTGAATTTTCCCATAAATTGGTAATCCCAAGAGCTAGCCTGGCGATTCTCTTCCAGGTTGACCACTATTCTGTATGAGATTATTTATATTGTTCTTGTTTAAAACAGAAGCAGCTCATCTTAGAATGTAATTTGAAAAGTCTGTCAACTTTGTAGTTTTATCAAAAACTAACCATATTTTGCACCTTATGAAGCTCAAGCACAGTCGCAGGCATGGTGAGTACCCTCATAACTGCACCAGTGGACATGATAAAAACCCGTCTGATGTTGCAGAAGGAATCTAAAAGGATGGGAAGCTATAAAAATGGATTTCACTGTGCATACCAGGTATACATTACATATTCTCTTCTTTTCTACTGCAGTTTAATGATGCTTTTTTGGTGTAATTGGGCATGATAACCGGGTCCTATTTTACTTGTCAGTGTAGCTTTTATTTTACATAGTTCGTAGTCGACTATGACTTTCATTGAATCTCAGGGTTACCTATCTTTCTTATCTGATGTTCTATAATATTTGGTTTCAGGTTATGCTTACAGAAGGCCCCAAGGGTCTTTACAAGGGGTGAGTTTCTCTTCAGTCCCGAATACTGGTGCTTTTTCGTATACACATCTGGTTCCATACAATCTAGACACACTTATTGCTCACTTGTTGAAAGTTAATTTTGCTGAAAAGCTTCAAACTTCCCAATATCTTTTAGAATGTATTGGGATTGAGTAACTACAGAGAATTAGTGGTGCCTAATTTCTTAGAATGCCATTGAGTACAATATTAATGAGGTGATAACTTGTCAGGAGCCTTGCAACTTTTGCAAGATTGGGTCCACAAACTACAATTACCTTCATACTGTGTGAGAAGTTGCGTGAGCTTGCTGGATTGAATGCAATCTAGCCTTGGGATCAGCAATCTGCAATCGCCGACTCTTCTGGCTGTAATGAATTCTTTTCAATTGGAAGATAAGCTCACACCACATTCCCACAAATTCCCATTTAGGGGAAGGGGAGTTCTTTTTTACTATACTAGCTTTGTTCTTGAGTTTTCTAGGTGGTTTTACAGTACCATTGCATTATTAAGGGGATCATTATGAATACTGTATGTCATTATATCTCTTAAGAAGAGGCTCCAATTATTTTGATCACGTTGTTTTGTGTACCGTGATCCCACATTTTTTCGCTCGAAACTGGGTGTATCTAATTGAACAGTGTATCTCCAGCAACCCTGTCCCTTGCATTCGTGTTGTGTAAGAATAAAAGAAATGGTGATTTATTGCATCACTCCATGGTTTTTATATTTTTTGTGTAACAAGCTCCGGATACGTGCAAGCACTCGAATAATGAAAGGTCATTCATCTATGTTACTTTTCCCTTATCTATCTACTGTTAAGCAACGAGATTTATATGCAAGCCAGCCAGACCTCACTGTATGTGTTTGATTAGAGACTTAGGTACAACTAACTTGTATTTTGACTTTAAGGAGAGTTTTGCCAAATGGGTCCTGGTTCTGTATACTAGTGTAGTCAAAGACGTCTAGTCTTATAGCTGATCAAATTAATTCAAAACGTCGGCCCACTTCTAGCATTTTTGGACCCCCGCCCGGGAGATATTCCAGCTTGCCACGTGGCATGCAAGGATTTGGGTCCCACCAGCATGTGAGCTGGTTCTTGGTGGCGTCCAATAAATATATTTCCTAATCATTATCGAATGTTGATTTTAAATAGAAATATATTTTCCTTTTGCCGTCAATAAAATATTTTCTTTGCTTTCTTATTAAAAGGAAACTACCTTTCACTTTGGGTTTAAAGTAAATTTTTTTGGTGGAAAAGATAAATATATTATGATTGGAGAAGTAAACAAAAGCCATGCATGCCTAAGTTTAAGTGAAAGTCAGTGGTTTTGTCTCTGTGCACGCAAGCCCTGCAAGTTGCAACGTTAAACAGTGATGTGGCGCTGTAACTGTCTTTGGACAACCTTGGAGCCTTTTTGAGGAGAAGCAGAAGCAGAAGCAGCAACATCCTTGGCCTTTGGCGGGACAGTCTGGCGTCCTTATCCTTTCGCCACGGTTTCCACGCTAAACTACTTTCCTACCCTTCCCTCTTTATTTACCATCCTGCCCCTCCTCTCCCCTACGTACGAAATCCCCACCTGCTTTCTTCTTGAAGACACGGCCTTTCTTGTGAAAACGACCCCATCTTCAGTAGTCAACGACTCAACAAACAAACCCCAACACTTATTTTTCTTTTATATAAATATTTTCAAAACGCCATAATGATCGTCACAGTTTTTAGAGGCCATTGTAAACACACGATAATTTTTCAATGTGACATTGACGACACAACTTAACGTGATACATTCACGCTACTACAAGTATTATTTTCATTAATATTATATCATAGAATATAAACTTATCATTTTCACATATTATAACACGTGAACTAATATAACGGCAAGACTCAAAAGTTTTCAAACGGGAGATACATGTATCTTATGGCTTATTATATACATGTCTTCCTGTTGCTGCATATGAAGGAGGAATGTTGAGAATGGACTAAATAAATACAAGAAAGGGCCAACACGTATATGGGCATACATGGGAATTAGGGTGTCTTTTCTTTTTGGTCCATTGATAAAACTGGTTGGAGTAGCTCGTATTCACATGCCCAAATTGAGCAACTCTTTGACATGCCACCGTTTTATTTAATTTTAAAATGAAAACAGGTAGGAGAACTTTCTTTCACAAGAATTAAATTTATACACAAAAACAGAGCAAGTAAAACTTTGTCCTTTGTCCTTTTTTTTTCGGTTGTTGTTCCTCTTTTGAATATAATTGTTGTCTCCATTGGCACGTTGATGTTGAGTGAGGGCTGTCATGTTTGGGCAGTCTCTCAATTTTTTGGAAAAGTGTCTACATTTTCTTAAAAAACAATATTCCTTCTTTGTGTTTCAACAAGACTAAATTGGGGAAGTTATTATATTTTTTCAAGTGTAATACATACACGTGGACTTGGGCCCATCGTAATTTCCTCCGCTGACGACAATGTAAGGGTATCAAGGTAAAATCGTCGACACTCCTTGCGACCAGTGCACGTACAAATTGACCCCAAGGCATAGGTAGATGAACTGGAACCGCCCGCAAGTGGCAGTCCCGAAAATAAATTGGAATCCGAGGGTAACAAAACTATTTTGATAAATAAGTAAATCTAATGAAGATCCAACTTTGCCATCCAGGAGCACCCCAATTTTCCCTTCGACGACTCTACGAAGAAAAAGAAAGGCTCAAAATCCTTTTACACGGAGAGAAACAAGACAGAAAATAAATACAAACGAACCGAGAAGTTAGAGAGAGAGAGATAGTGAAGTCATTAATGGCGGAGGGGAAGAAAGAGAGAAAGTTGAACAGCGAAGACAGCGTGAAGCTGTTTGTCGGTCAAGTGCCGAAGCACTTGACCGAAGCTCAACTCCTCGCAATGTTCAAAGAGTTCGCTCTAGTAGACGAAGTCAACATCATCAAGGACAAGACGACGCGCGCTTCCAGAGGTTTCAAATCTCTCTCTCTCTCTTGCATTTTCTCTACTAGTTTGTGATTTGGTTTTGAGTAGAGAGTAATGTGCGTTCTTGGTTTGGCTTTTGGTAGAGAATGTGTGTGATTTCCGCGATTTAGAAAATTGTGTTTGAGATTTGTGGCGTTTGAGTTCCTGAATTGGTCTTTCAAACCCTAATTTGTTGCTTCGGTGTTTGTGTGTGTTTGCAGGGTGTTGCTTTGTGATATGTCCGTCGAGGCAGGAGGCAGATAAAGCGGTCGATGCGTGTCATAATAAGAAGACTTTGCCCGGGGTTAGTGCAATTTGTATCTGTTTAAATGGATTGATGTGCTTCTTTTGTTGTTCTAGTTGGTAACTTCAAACTTCGGAGAATGTGATTGGAATCTATGCCGCCCCCCCCCCCCCCCCCCCCCCCCCCCCCCCCCCCACCCTATCTCGTCTCACTCTCTCACACCTCACA